TCACCTAACACCCATGTACTTACTTGCTACTAGGTGAACAGGGACAGCAGGTATTTCCGCCTGTACAGGGGATCGAACTAAGGCACCTCCATATATTCTCCGGGATGCTCTTGTGCCCGCCGTCTTTTATGATTTACGTTCCACGTGGCTGTCATTTACGCTCTACAGCACGCATTTAGCACACTACTGAGTGCATTACCGCTGACATAACGAACTGAGAGAACTAGGAGTCAGCAGACAGCGACATTCCTAGCGTAACTTAAAAGGTATGGAGGGTCGCGTCTACTGACCATTATTCTGACCGCTTCAATATATGCCTTGTGGTCACTTGTATGGTAGTTTCAGCGTTTTTTCTTCTACGCTTTGTGGCCCAGTCCCTAGACCCATTGTGTGTCCTGTGGCTGGGTTGGTAGCGCACTCAGCTCACACGTCGAGGTCCTTGGTTCGATCTTCGGTACGGGTGGAAACAGTGGCCGTGTTTCCTTAGACTTGCTGTCACTGTTCACCTAGCAAGCAAGTAGGTACCTGGGTGTTAGTCGACTAATGTGGGTCGCATCCTGGGTAATAAGTGCCTCCATGATGCACTTGCTTGGGTTGGATTTTTAATCCCTCCAGGGGTTAAAAATCCCAACAAATTCTTACCTTGGGAATTACTTGATACTCTCTGCCTTAAAATTCTCCCTGGGGCAGCAAGCGAGTATTCTACGGCTTCTGAAGGAAATCGGTCATCAACTCTAGTGTGGTTTAGGCTTCTCACTCTGCCCGAGTTTGTGCTCAGTGAAGCCTACTTATTTTTCCTTTGGAGGACAGACTTCATCTATTTCTTTTTTTTTTTTTTGATGTTTAGTTCTGGCCTATGTGTCAAGCCTGAACACCTAGATTAAAGGGAGAATACGACGTGTTATAGTGATACCTATAGAGGGTCAACGCCCCCGCAGCCCGGTCTGTAACCAGACCTCGTGGTGGATCATAGACTGATCAACCAGGTTGTTTCCGCTGGTTGCACATAGACTGACGTAGGAGCCAAAGCCCGGCTGGACAGGTACTGACCTTAGGTGCCTGTCCAGCACCTTCGTGAAGACAGCCAGGAGCCTTGAAGACAGCCAGGAGCCTTGAAGACAGCCAGGAGTCTTGAAGACAGCCAGGAGTCTTGAAGACAGCCAGGAGCGTTGAAGACAGCCAGGAGTCTTGAAGACAGCCAGGAGTCTTGAAGACAGCCAAGAGTCTTGAAGACAGCCAGGAGCCTTGAAGACAGCCAGGAGTCTTGAAGACAGCCAGGAGTCTTGAAGACAGCCAGGAGTCTTGAAGACATTCAGGAGCCTTGAAGACAGCCAGGGGTCTTGAAGACAGCCAGGAGCCTTGAAGGCAGCCAAGAGCCTTGAAGACAGCCAGGGGTCTTGAAGACAACCAGGAGTCTTGAAGACAGCCAATAGTCTTGAAGGCAGCCAGGAGCCTTGAAGACAGCCAGGGGTCTTGAAGACAACCAGGAGTCTTGAAGACAGCCAATAGTCTTGAAGGCAGCCAGGAGTCTTGAACACAGCCAGGGGTCTTGAACACAGCCAGGGGTCTTGAACACAGCCAGGGGTCTTGAACACAGCCAGGGGTCTTGAAGACAGCCAGGAGCCTTGAAGACAGCCAAGAGTCTTGAAGACAGCCAGGAGTCTTGAAGACAGTCAGGAGCCTTGAAGACAGCCAGGAGTCTTGAAGACAGCAAGGAGCGTTGAAGACAGCCAGGAGCGTTGAAGACAGCCAGGAGTCTTGAAGACAGCCAGGAGCGTTGAAGACAGCCAGGAGCATTGAAGACAGCCAGGAGTCTTGAAGACAGCCAGGAGTCTTGAAGACAGCCAGGGGTCTTGAAGACAGCCAGGAGCGTTGAAGACAGCCAGGAGCCTTGAAGACAGGCAGGAGTCTTGAAGACAGCCAAAAGCCTTAAAGACAGCCAGGAGTCTTGAAGACGGCCAGGAGTCTTGAAGACAGGCAGGAGTCTTGAAGACAGCCAAAAACCTTGAAGACAGCCAGGAGTCTTCAAGACAGCCAAGAGTCTTGAAAACAGCCAGGAGTCTTGAAGACGGCCAGGAGTCTTGAAGACAGCCAGGAGTCTTGAAGACGGCCAGGAGTCTTGAAGACAGGCAGGAGTCTTGAAGACAGCCAAAAACCTTGAAGACAGCCAGGAGTCTTCAAGACAGCCAAGAGTCTTGAAAACAGCCAGGAGTCTTGAAGACGGCCAGGAGTCTTGAAGACAGCCAGGGGTCTTGAAGAAAGCCAGGAGCGTTGAAGACAGCCAGGAGTTTTGACAGCCAGGAGTCTTAAAGAAAGCCAGGAGTCTTGAAGACAGCCAAGGGTCTTGAAGACAGAAAGGAGTCTTGAAGACAGCCAGGAGTCTTGAAGACAGCCAGGAGTCTTGAAGACAGCCAGGAGTCTTGAAGACAGCCAGGAGTCTTGAAGACAGCCAGGAGACTTGAAGACAGCCAGGAGTCTTGAAGACAGGCAGGAGTCTTGAAGACAGCCAAAAGCCTTGAAGACAGTCAGGAGTCTTGAAGACAGCCAAGAGTCTTGAAGACAGCCAGGGGTCTTGAAGACAGCCAAGAGCCTTGAAGACATCCAGGAGTCTTGAAGACAGCCAGGAGTCTTGAAGATAGCCAGGAGTCTTGAAGACAGCCAGGAGACTTGAAGACAGCCAGGAGTCTTGAAGACAGCCAGGAGCGTTGAAGACAGCCAGGAGCCTTGAAGACAGCCAGGAGTCTTGAAGACAGCCAGGAGTCTTGAAGACAGCCAGGAGTCTTGAAGACAGCCAGGAGCGTTGAAGACAGCCAGGAGTCTTGAAGACAGCCAGGAGACTTGAAGACAGCCAGGAGTCTTGAAGACAGCCAGGGGTCTTGAAGACAGCCAGGAGTCTTGAAGACAGCCAGGGGTCTTAAAGACAGCCAGGAGCGTTGAAGGCAGCCAGGAGTCTTGACAGCCAGGAGCCTTGAAGACATCCAGGAGTCTTGAAGACATTCAGGAGTCTTGAAGACATCCAGGAGTCTTGAAGACATCCAGGAGTCTTGAAGACAGCCAGGAGTCTTGAAAACATCCAAGAATCTTGAAGACATCCAGGAGTCTTGAAGACATCCAGGAGTCTTGAAGACAGCCAGGAGTCTTGAAGACAGCCAGGAATCTTGAAGACTGCCAGGAGTCTTGAAGACATCCAGGAGTCTTGAAGACAGCCAGGAGTCTTGAAGACAGCCAGGGGTCTTGAAGACAGCCAGGGGTCTGGAAGACAGCCTGGAGTCTTGAAGACAGCCAAGAGCCTTGAAGACAGCCAGGAGTCTTGAAGACAGCCAGGAGTCTTGAAGATAGCCAGGAGTCTTGAAGACAGCCAGGAGCGTTGAAGACGGCCAGGAGCGTTAAGGACAGCCAGGAGCCTTGAAGACAGCCAGGAGTCTTGAAGACAGCCAGGAGTCTTGAAGACAGCCAGGGGTCTTGACATCCAGGAGCGTTGAATACAGCCAGTGTGGCATGCAAAGAGTACGTAACCGTTATTCGGCGCATGGACACACCCTCATTTACAGGCTATCTCCCCCAACCAGCGAACCAGGTTGCTAAGAGTTGGTGATGGGGCCCCATCGTTCAACTAGTGACCAGGTTCTAGCCAATAAGAAGGTGAGATTGGCAATCGCAGAGGTTATGTGGATACCGCTCTCCTGTCTGCCATTGTCATTCCCATTCTAGAGCTGGTTGAGCACGGTCTGCTATCTTGTGGCTTCTATTTCTGCCTTGCTTACCGTGACGTGCACTATACTTATTACTGTACATAGTGTACATATTGCTGTTCTAAATTGGTGAAGGATAATATAAGTCTAAACTTTTTCTGCTGTGTTTCTTTTGCTCCCATTACACCTGGGATAACAGGCCTTTGAAATCCTAGGTTGTAATAGCCAGGAGTCTTGAAGAGAGTCAGGAGTCTTGAAGACAGCCAGGAGGCTTGAAGATAGCCTGGAGGCTTGAAGACAGCCAGGAGTGTTGAAGACAGCCAGGAGTCTTGAAGACATCCAGAATTCTTGAAGACATTCAGGAGTCTTGAAGACAGCCAGGAGTCTTGAAGACAGCCAGGATTCTTGAAGACAGCCAGGAATCTTGAAGACAGCCAGGAGTCTTGAAGACATCCAGGAGCCTTGAAGACAGCCAGGAGCCTTGAAGACAGCCAGGAGTCTTGAAGACATCCAGGAGCCTTGAAGACATCCAGGAGTCTTGAAGACATCCAGGAGCCTTGAAGACAGCCAGGAGTCTTGAAGACATCCAGGAGCCTTGAAGACATCCAGGAGTCTTGAAGACAACCAGGAGCCTTGAAGACAGCCAGGAGTCTTGAAGACATCCAGGAGTCTTGAAGACAGCCAGGAGTCTTGAAGACATCCAGGAGCCTTGAAGACATCCAGGAGCCTTGAAGACATCCAGGAGCCTTGAAGACATCCAGGAGTCTTGAAGACAGCCAGGAGTCTTGAAGACAACCAGGAGTCTTGAAGACAACCAGGAGTCTTGAAGACAGCCAGGAGTCTTGAAGACATCCAGGAGCCTTGAAGACATCCAGGAGTCTTGAAGACAGCCAGGAGTCTTGAAGACATCCAGGAGCCTTGAAGACATCCAGGAGCCTTGAAGACATCCAGGAGTCTTGAAGACAACCAGGAGCCTTGAAGACATCCAGGAGTCTTGAAGACAGCCAGGAGTCTTGAAGACATCCAGGAGCCTTGAAGACATCCAGGAGTCTTGAAGACAGCCAGGAGTCTTGAAGACAGCCAGGAGCCTTTAAGACAGCCAGGAGCCTTGAAGACATCCAGGAGTCTTAAAGTGTGACCGTATACTACATCAGTAACACCTGGATTAAAAGGACAATACGCCGTGTATTATTGTGGCCCTATATTCCAGCAGCTGTATTAAGTGGACAATACGGCTGGTGTTACAGTGGCTCTATATTATAATAACAAAGTGGTTGCAGTGCCTCAGTAAGGTGATGTTCACTTATTTTGTGTATATAGAAGTATTAATGATGTTAATTTCAAGGGGAAGGGCTCTTGATCCAAGGAACTCAACCTCTCCTCACCTTCCTGGATTCAACATCATTGCCTTCAACTTCCCCTAGGGATTGTGTGCCTTACAGGTTTAGCGCTCTCTTGAATAATGATGCATGACACCAAAATAATAATTATTATTACTGTTAGGATTATTATTATTACTGTTATAATTATTACTACTGTTGTAATTACTATTATTACGGTTATAATTATTTTTGTATTACTACTACCAATAATTATTATTAATATAAAAGATTATTATTGCTTCCTCATGTACATAATAATACTTTGCCTACAAATATTTTTTTTCATGAAAATCATTATTTTTTCCCGAATTTTTCCGTTTCTTTGACTACTTTTAACACATTTAACACCCTTAATATCATTAAGGGCGTTAAATACACGCTGTATGACCCCTTTGGGTTTAGCACTTTGTTTTGATTATAATAACCTCACTAAATACGCTTTTATTTTTTTCAGAGGATGCATTCGAGAAAATTTTTAGTCCAGGACTTGAACACCATCAACAGGTTGAAAAAATTCTCCGTAAGCGATAGAGAAATTTTGGATAAGCGGACCAAGACTAACCCCCGATACACTACTGTCCGCGCTCGCACAGACACTGGCTTTAACACTCAGCGGCGCCAGGAGCTGGAGCACGAGATACGGAAATATTATAAGGTGAGGGTGGCTCAGTTGCTGACACACCGGCTTCACATGCTGGGTGTCCGGGTTCAATACCCGGTACAGGTGCGAATGTTGGTGTGGAAAATTGCATTTATCAGAATGTGTCATTATATACATAACAGTAAATGAACATAGATAATTATTATTTATCTGTTAGACAAGTAGGAATTTGGGACACCTAGGTCACAAAAAATGTCCCCCTTCGATACTTACCACTGTCATAACCACAAGTTGCTCTGGACCTATTAATTAACAATAAAAGATACATCACCAGGAATTCTGGTAAATATATAAATTTGGTTATATATATACACAATTACATAACAGAAGGAAAATATATCTTAATATCACTCACCAATTTGACTGAAGATTAATGTGTATCATACTCAGAAAACCTCACTCAAACTAAATCTATAAAAATAATGCTGGCCAGAATTACACACAAATCTAGAGAGCTTATCTGAGGTTCCTGGAGCTGTCTTGTCCAGTCGTCTGATATCTCAAGTTATGCAGGAATGCACATCCAACAATTTTGCCTCCTATTTGAGAGGTGTCAGCACAATTTTAACCTCTAGAGCACGAAAAAGTCTTCCCATTACACCAACGTTTGTACAAAATTCAAAACCAAGATGGCGAGTCTCGTCTGCGCAGACGCAGGCTTTCCGTTTTCTATGGCATAAATGTTATTAAATACAGTATGGCCATCTATTTACATATAAATACAGAATTTCTGGAAAATATATAAGTATTTTCCACAGTTGGTCGTGTTTCCTTAAGACACCTGTTGTCACTGTTCACCTTATAGTAAGTAGGTACCTGGGTGTTAGTGGACTGGTGTGGGTCGTATCCTGGGTGTTAGTGGACTGGTGTGGGTCACATCCTGGGTGTTAGTGGACTGGTGTGGGTGGCATCCTGGGTGTTAGTGGACTGGTGTGGGTGGCATCCTGGGTGTTAGTGGACTGGTGTGGGTTGCATCCTGGGTGTTAGTGGACTGGTGTTGGTTGCATCCTGGGTGTTAGTGGACTGGTGTGGGTCACATCCTGGGTGTTAGTGGGCTAGTGTGGGTGGCATCCTGGATGTTAGTGGACTGGTGTGGGTCACATCCTGGGTGTTAGTGGACTGGTGTGGGTCACATCCTGGGGGGTTAGTGGACTGGTGGGGGGTTCCATCCTGGGTGTTAGTTGACTGGTGTGGGTCACATCCTGGGTGTTAGTGGACTGGTGTGGGTCACATCCTGGGTGCTAGTAGACTGGTGTGGGTTGCATCCTGGGTGTTAGTGGAATGGTGTAGGTTGCATCCTGGGTGTTAGTGGACTGGTGTGGGTCGCATCCTGGGTGTTAGTGGACTGGTGTGGATCACATCCTGGGTGTTAGTGGACTGGTGTGGGTCACATCCTGGGTGTTAGTTGACTGGTGTGGGTCACATCCTGGGTGTTAGTGGACTGGTGTGTGTCGCATCCTGGGTGTTAGTGGACTGGTGTGGGTGGCATCCTGGGTGTTAGTGGACTGGTGTGGTGGCATCCGGGGTGTTAGTGGACGGGGTGCGAGGCACATCCTGGGTGTTAGGTAACTGGTGTTGGTCACATCCTGGGTGTTAGTGGACTGGTATGGGTGCATCCTGGTTGTTAGTGGACTGGTTGGGTCACATCCTGGGTGTTAGTGGACTGGTGTGGGGGGGCATCCTGGGTGTTAGTGGAGGTGGGGGTGGCATCCTGGGTGTTAGTGGACGGGTGTGGGTGCATCCTGGGTGTTAGTGACTGGTGTTGGTTCATCCGGGGTTTTTTGTGGACTGGTGTGGGTCACATCCTGGGTGTTAGGGGCTGTGTGGGTGGCATCTGGGTGTAGTGGATGGTGTGGTCACATCCTGGGTGTTAGGGGACTGGTGGGGGTCGCATCCTGGGTTTAGTGGACTGGTGTGGGTCACACCCCGGGGTGTTAGTTGACGGTGGGGGTTCATACCTGGGTTTATTGGACTGGTGTGGGTCACCCCTGGGTGTTAGTGGACTGGTGGGTGCATCCTGGGTGTTAGTGGACTGGTGTGGGTGGCATCCTGGGTTTGTTAGTGGATGGTGTGGGTTTGCATCCTGGGTGTTAGGGACTGGTGTTGGTTGCATCCGGGGTGTTAGTGGACTGGTGGGGGTTTCACATCCGGGGTGTTATTGGCTATGTGGGTGGCATCCTGGGTGTTAGTGGACTGGTGTGGGTCACATCCTGGGTGTTAGTGGACTTTTGGGGGTCGCATCCTGGGTGTTAGTGGACTGGTGTGGGTGGCATCCGGGGTGTTAGTGATGGGTGGGTGGCATCCTGGGTGTTAGGGGACTGGTGTGGGTCACATCCTGGGTGTTAGTGGACTGGTGGGGTGGCATCCTGGGTGTTAGTGATGGTGTGGGTGGCCATCCTGGGTTTTTAGTGGACTGGTTTTTGGGTTGCATCTTGGTGTTAGTGGGGACTGTGTTGGTTGCATCCTGGGTTTTTAGTGGACTGGTGTGGGCCCACACCCTGGGTGTTTTAGTGGGCTATTTGGGGGTGGCATCCTGGGGGTTGTTATTGGACGGTGTGGGTCACTCCTGGTGTTAGTGGACTGGGTGGGGTCGCATCCTGGGTTTTAGGGCTGGTGTGGGTCACATCCGGGGTGTTAGTTGACTGGTGTGGGTCACATCCTGGGTGTTAGTGGACTGGTGTGGGTCACATCCTGGGTGCTAGTAGACTGGTGTGGGTTGCATCCTGGGTGTTAGTGGAATGGTGTGGGTTGCATCCTGGGTGTTAGTGACTGGTGTGGTCGCATTTTGGGGTGTTAGTGGACTGGTGTGGATCACACCCTGGGGTTAGGGGACTGGTGGGGGTCACATCCGGGGTGTTAGTGGACTGATGTGGGTCACATCCTGGGTGTTAGTGGACTGGTGTGTGTCGCATCCTGGGTGTTAGTGGACTGGTGTGGGTGGCATCCTGGGTGTTAGTGGACTGGTGTGGGTGGCATCCTGGGTGTTAGTGGACTGGTGCGAGGCACATCCTGGGTGTTAGTAGACTGGTGTTGGTCACATCCTGGGTGTTAGTGGACTGGTATGGGTGGCATCCTGGGTGTTAGTGGACTGGTTTGGGTGGCATCCTGGGTGTTAGTGGACTGGTGTGAGGCACATCCTGGGTGTTAGTGGACTGGTGTGGGTGGCATCCTGGGTGTTAGTGGACTGGTGTGAGGCACATCCTGGGTGTTAGTTGACTATTGTGGGTGGCATCCTGGGTACTCGCCTAGTTTTACTCACCTAGTTGAGGTTGCAGGGGTCGATACCTGGCTCCTGGCCCCGCCTCTTCACTGGTCGCTACTAGGTCACTCTCCCTGAACCGTGAGCTTTATCATACCTCTGCTTAAAGCTATGGATGGATCCTGCCTCCACTACATTGCTTCCCAAACTATTCCACTTCCTGACTACTCTGTGGCTGAAGAAATACTTCCTAACATCCCTGTGATTCATCTGTGTCTTCAACTTCCAACTGTGTCCCCTTGTTGCTGTGTCCCATCTCTGGAACATCCTGTCTTTGTCCATCTTGTCAATTCCTCTCAGTATTTTGTATGTCCTTATCATATCCCCCGTATATCTCCTGTCCTCCGGTGTCGCCAGGTCGATTTCCCTTTAACCTCTCCTCGTAGGACATACCTCTTAGCTCTGGGACTAGTCTTGTTGCAAACCTTTGCACTTTCTTTAGTTTCTTTACATGCTTGGCTAGGTGTGGGTTCCAAACTGGTGCCGCATACTCCAATATGGGCCTAACGTACACGGTGTACAGGGTCCTGAACGATTCCTTATTAAGATGTCGGAATGCTGTTCTGAGGTTTGCTAGGGGCCCATATGCTGCAGCAGTTAGTGTTAGTGGACTGGTGTGGGTGGCATCCTGGGTACTCACCTAGTTGTACTCACCTAGTTGAGGTTGCAGGGGTCGAGTCCAAGCTCCTGGCCCCACCTCTTCACTGGTCACCACTAGGTCACCGTCCCTGTACCTTTAGCTTTATCATACCTCTACTTAAAGCTATGTATGGGTGTTAGTGGACTGGTGTGGGTCACATCCTGGGTGTTAGTGGGCTGGTGTGGGTCACATCCTGGGTGTTAGTGGGCTGGTGTGGGTGGTGTTCTGGGGGACAATATTTAAGGACAACAATGGAAATAAGAGACAGTCCTTGTTGATGTACTAACTTTCTTGTGTTATCCTGGGTGGTTAACCCTCCGTACCCTGGGTTATCCTGGGTAGCTAACCCTCCCTACCCTGGGTTATCCTGGGTAGCTAACCCTCCCTACCCTGGGTTATCCTGGGTAACTAACCCTCCCTACCCTGGGTTATCCTGGGTAGCTAACCCTCCCTACCCCGGGTTATCCTGGGTAGCTAACCCTCCCTACCCTGGGTTATCCTGGGTAGCTAACCCTCCCTACCCTGGGTTATCCTGGGTAGCTAACCCTCCCTACCCTGGGTTATCCTGGGTAGCTAACCCTTTTTACCCTGGGTTATCCTGGGTAGCTAACCCTCCCTACCCTGGGTTATCCTTTGTAGCTAACCCTCCCTACCCTGGGTTATCTTGGGTAGCTAGGCCTCCCTACCCTGGGTTATCCTGGGTACCTAACACTCCCTACCCCAGTTAATCCTGAGTGACTAACCCTCCCTACCCCAGGTAATCCTGAGTGACTAATCCTCCCTGCCCCAGGTAATCCTGAGTGACTAACCCTCCCTGCCCCAGGTAATCCTGAGTGACTAACCCTCCCTACCCCAGGTAATCCTGAGTGACTAACCCTCCCTGCCCCAGGTAATCCTGAGTGACTAACCCTCCCTACCCCAGGTAATCCTGAGTGACTAACCCTCCCTGCCCCAGGTAATCTTGGGTGACTAACCCTCCCTACCCCGGGAGTTTACCCAGAGAGAGTTCCGTTGGTCAACACCCCTGCGGCCTGGTCTGTGACCAGGCCTCATGGTGGATCAGGGCCTGATCAACCAGGCTGTTACTGCTGGCCACACACAATCCAATGTATGAACCACAGCCTTGCTGGTCAGGTACTGACTTTAGGTGCCTATCCAGTGCCTGCTTGAAGACAGCCAGGGGTCTATCGGTAATCCCCCTTATGTATGCTGGGAGGCAGTTGAACAGTCTAGGGCCCCTGACACTTATTGTGTTGTCTTTTAATGTGCTAGTGGCACCCCTGCTTTTCATTGAGGGGATGCTGCATCATCTGCCGAGTCTTTTGCTTTTGTAGGGAGTGATTTTCGTGTGCAAGTTCGGTACTAATCCCTCTAGGATTTTCCAGGTGTACATAATCATGTATCTCTACTGCCTGCCTTCCAGGGAGTACAGGTTCAGTAATTGAGGTGTTTTATCTCAGTTATGCATGTTGTGAAGGGTCTCTACATTTTCTAGGTCAGCAATTTCACCTGCTTTGAAAGGTGCTGTTAGTGCGCAGCAATATTCCAGCCTAGATAGAACAAGTGACCTGAAGTGTGTCATCATGGACTTGGCATCCCTAGTTTTGAAGGTTCTCATTATCCATCCTGTCATTTTTCTAGCAGATGCGATTAATACAATATAATCTTGAGTGACTAACCCTCCCTACCCTGGGTTATCCTGGGTGTCTAACCCTCCAGGATAAAAGTCCAAACAAATCTCACACACAAAAATCTTCTTAACCCCCCTTAACACAGCATTTACTTAATACACAGCTTTTATAACGTTCGTAAAATGTCCTGTTTGACCAACTACTCAATTTATTGCTGTGTACAGCAATAAATTGAGTAGTTGGTCAAACTACTATCGTGTATAGTATTATCATTGAGTATGATAATACTATACACAATAATATTACACACAATACAGAAAGTTCTCAACGTGTTTGTAGATAGAGGACTTACTGCACCACTAACTTATGTTCGCTATTCACAGGTAAGGAATGATGAAGTGTTCCGTCGCATCTCACTGGCAGACCTATTACAACTGATGGTGGCGCACTCAGAACGTGTCGATGCTGCAGTGTGCGCTGATCGTGACGCTGAAGGTGATAGTGTTGAGATGCAGGTCCCACTGAAATACAGAGACGAAGTGGAATGCATCATTCATCAGATGGATAATGTTAAGGTTTGTTATAGTGGAATACAGTGGAACCTCAAAAATCGAACTGCTCCCAACACAACCAATTATGTAAGTGTATTTTTGTAAGTGCTTTTATAAGTGTATTTTTGAGGGTCTGAAATGGATTAATCTAATTTACATTATTCCTGAAGGGAATAAATTCATTCGGTAAAGGCACTCGAACAGCCTTCTGGACTGAAGAAAGTTCGATATTTGAGGTTCCACTGTATTCATCAGATGATACTGTTAAGGTTTGTTATAAGTGTGATTTTAATGTACATAGTTATTTGTTGTAACATTAATTAAATATCTAAAGGGCAATAAGCCACACTTGAGGCTTTATTTGGGCTATCCTGGTTATCCTGGGTTATTAAATTGTCATCATTGCTTCATCATCACTCATCACTTTACATATCTATATTGATCAATCCGCTGCATACATGTTTCACCTGGAAGTTGAAGTTTCACCCTACTGACTTCTTCTGTATAAATATATTAATTAATTCAAGTATATTTCTGGTCTAATAATCATTCTACTGGGTATATATTTGCCTATTAATTTTGTATATTTATGTGCTGTATAATAATAATATGAAGGGATTCAGGGAAACCAGTTAGCCGGACTTGAGTCCTGAAGGTGGGAAGTACAGTGTCTGCACTCTGAAGGAGGGGTGAGGATATTTGCAGTTTTAAACTGTAGTATTGGCACACCTCTGGCAAGACAGTGATGGAGTGAGTGATGGTGAAAGTGTTTTTCTTTTTTTTGGGTCACCCTGCCTTGGTGAGGGATGGCCAGAAAAAAAAATGATAATGAGACCTTGGGAAATTCTTAATAAATGAATGCATAGTGAATACACAACATTTTAATGATAGTTGTTCTTCCAGATTACAAGTAAAACAAGGAGTCCAGAATGCCCATATGTAATTATTGACGTTCGCCCACAAAACGAGTATCTGACTTCTCACCTTGCCACAGCTGTCAACCATCCACATTCCCGCCTCTCTAGAGCAGTAGGCTGGGAGTGTGCTGAGCTCCTGGCATACAAGAACCATCCGGAGTTTATCATCGTTGCATATGATGAAGGGGAAGACTTGGCTCCAGAGGTAGTTGCTACTCTCCAACATCGTGGATACAACAACATCTTCATGCTCAGTGGGGGTCTTCATCTCGCCAGAGATAAGTTTGGCTTTCCATTAGTCTCAGACGACTCTGCCCTCACCCTCCGTCCACAGGTCATCAGTGCAATATCGCAGCAGCTGTCAGATACCGTACTGCCACCTCTGAGCATGGCTGATGCTTCCGAGTGGTGGGCGGCTGCTTCCAAGCTTCCTAACGCCACCACCACTCCAACAGACTCCGGCTTTACCAACATCACACGATCCGTTGGTCAGCATACATCCAGATCACAAGTAAAAGGCAAAGATGGTCAACCGGTTAGACCATGGCGATAATTATTCAGTATTTCCTTATGAAATCCTCATTTATTTTTAATAAGTTTTACATTTGGTAATGGAATATTTTCTTTTTTTTAACTTATAACTGTACTGTAATAGGTGCTAAATAGCTTTAATATTCTGCATTGTATTTCATTCAAATCTCTGAGTGGCCTATAAAATTTCATTTGAGAAATTTTTTTTGCCTGTGTTATCTGCATTACAGTCAGTGTGGTCATGTGGGTCATCAAGGCATATTTGCACTGACTGGGCATGAGCTCGGTCACATCTAAGAGTACCACTGAGCAATAAAGCTAATAAAATTCTTGGCTTCATATCAAGAAGCATTAATAAAAGAGGTCCTAAGGTTATACATCAATTTCGTACTGTATATATTTGTACATGAATGGTATACAACACCAACAAGATGAAGAATTAGACATGTGCAGCTTCTGGGTATTTTTACAATAAAAATACCCAAATGTCGTACATGTCTAATACTGTATACATTTGGTAAGGCCTCATTTGGGTTATGCTTCTTAGTTCTGGTTTCCTCTTATCGATTTTTTTTTTATTGTCTCTTCGTAGGCACCTTGACTGACTGCAGGCTGATAACAGCAGTTGCCAGACTAATCAGTCGGAATCATAGCCTCAGGTTAGACTGTGAGAGTAGGTATATTCAGAACCAGTCACAGGTAAATCACGGATTACCACAACACAAGCGTCCCTCCATTGCTCTTCTGCCCTAGATCTCTTTGCTCAAGTATAAAGTAGAACTCCAGGCTTTTCTAGTAAGTGCTACTCTACAAGGAAAGTGCCTTTGTGTATGAGGGTCATTATCCCTCAACTGTATGCAAGAATATTTTAATCCCTAATACATGAATTAAAATTTTTTTAGTGTTGCATACACAAATACAGTATATACCTGTTACTGTATACACAGATACAAGGTATACCTGTTAGTGTTGTATACACTTACAGTATATATCCCTGGGTACATACCCTGTGTAACTTTTGTTGTAATAGTATATATTTTGCATATTGCATGCAGAATACCTTCATACTTTCTATGATATAGACAAGAAGTGCTGTCATACACTAATAATTTCGAGAACGTTCTACTTGAACTGCTGTGATGATGTACTATGCACTAATTTGAAGCATATTCAGCTTCAACTGTCAGGTTTGTGCTGTCTAGTGACTTTTGTGTTAACATGACAGCCACTAGAAAGCTCCATTATTTAAGGATGCGATTTGTCCATTATTTATTAGAATTCTATTTTGTGGGGAAAGTGAAATTTTTTACCAGATTCATTCTCCGTGCATCTAGACTATCACTAGAGAGGTTCATCATCAGGGATGTGATTTGTCCAGAATTCTGTTTTTTGGGATATTGAAAAGTTTTACCAAATTCATTCTCTATGCATTAGAACAGTATTTAAAAATGTCTATGGGGGGGATTATCCCTCCTTTGACACACTTCCCTAGTTTTCAGGGTTAGTATTGTCTTAATTACATTCCTGATATACAGTAGATTGTATGATATTCTGCTGTTTGCCTGTGTACTCCCATATTAGCCACTGTTAGACACCACAAAAACACATTCTCTAATTATAATAGAGGGTAGATGTAGTTTCTGTACTTTTCCTGATGAATCATTTACTCACCATGAAAACAAAGCCATAGTTTTGCTTGGCATGTCTCCGAATAAACATCAGGAAATCACCAATAGCAGGCAGTCTCAGGCTAGTGAACTGCACAAACCAAGTGACAATAACATTGTGATTTGTTCCTCATTCAGCTTTGTGTAACCAAGTAAGTCATTGAGCTCTGATGAGCTGTTTTCAAGAGTTTTAAAGGAACATAAGTTCTTCCTTAACAAACCACTAGGTAATTTCATTAAAAAATCACTACAAGAACAACCACTGCGAAAAAATAGTGAATTCCAAGTGCTTTTGTGATTTCTCTTCACAGTGGTTCTGCATATTGTGATATCACCTGTTTACTGTGATCTTATTGCAGCAAATCATTACAAGTGGGTATCATACTGGATAAGTGGAAAATAGCAAATTTGATACCCATTTACAAGGTGGGAGATAGTTTTCAAATTATAGACCAATCATCCTAATCCCAACTGTGGGTAAGTTTATACAATTGGTATATAATTAAGGATGCAGTTCAAATTGGTGTTTAGTGGAAGAATTCCCTTGGGGTACTTTCGAATGTGTATAATATGGGAAATTTATATAAACCCAGAAAAATTTGTGATTTGAGAAATCAGCATAACTAGTAACTCGGCAAAGCTTAAAATTATTAGATGTACAGTATCATGTGATACAAAGTCACAGTGAAAGATATAATTTCCTCAATGAATCTCATCTCGGTTTCATAAAGGGTCACTTTTAACCTATAAAATTTCTAATCTTTTTTTTAATACATGTATTTGTTTCAGTAAGATATCTGAAGAGATGAACGATGATAACAATTAATAATTATAATAATATTGCAGCATGATACAATGTTTGTACAGAAACTTTTGACATTTACTTGTGCCTGGAGAAAGCCCTTAGTCATGACTTCAGTAAGGTCTTAGAATAGTTACACACAGGAGATTGATGACGAAAGTAGCAGTACATGGTATAGGAGGATAAATTATCTCCTGGCTTAAGGTACAGTTGATCAATAGGCAACAGAGCATTTGCTTATCTGAGAAATCAAGATAAGTAAGTTTATTTAGGTACAGATACACAAGTACAATTATCACGTCTAGTAACACGTGTGAATTTTCCAGGATAACCTAAAAAATTAAGGTAATGTAACTTATTGATAAAATGGAAAACATATTGCAGAAATAGAGATGATTTTGATTAGTTTCACAATGAAAACGACCTTGAAATTGGGCTCAAAGTAGCAGAAATGTTTGATTTTTACCAATGTTCAAGAGTAAGCAAATCACACCACACATCCAATACACACGTCAACTGGGGAGTCTAATATTTTTTCACTAGTGCACTGATATTATTTATATCATTTTTACAATAATGCAATAGTCTGCATAACAGTAAATTTTGTATTGTTTGTATGAATAAAAAATAAAAATAGAAAGCAATAGTAATATAAGAGGTGCCTAGAGACGTGACTAATGAACACAAGATATGTTATTTTGGTGCCAAGAATGTCTACATTGTTTATTCTGGACTTTATTTTGAAATTGGCATCTTTTTCAATTTGTGTGAAATTGGCCAAATTGCCAATTTCTGACCACTTTATTGGGTAGTTGAAATTGGTAAATGGGTGGTTTCTTGTACTCAACTGATAGAAAAAATGGAGTTCTAAAGAAATAGCTATGAGTTTGGTCAACTGGAACAACGGAATTGGCCAAAAACAGGGCTCAAAGTCGGCAAAATCGTCAATGCATATATGTCGCCGAGACCGCTAACTTCGCGGGAGCGTAATTCCGTGAGTTTTCGACCAAATTTCATATTTCTGGTGTCATTACCATCGGAAAAAGATTATCATTTCATAAGAAATTTTTTTTTTTTTTTTTTTTAAATTACGACATAGAATGACAGTTTCAGAAAGGGGCTCACGACACAGTCAAAAGGTTAATGCATACAAATGTAATGTACTAATTCTTGGAAAAGGAAATAGATATGACATTTATAAACTAAATTAAAATTACACACACAAACTAAATAATGTAGATCTTACTCAGAATGAAAGAATGAAAGACTTGGAAATTCTGGTCAGCAGACATTTCACCAGCCAGTGGCTTTGTCAGTTCAATACAGAGGTTATATGAAGGTGTTGAAACAGGAGACAGTGGAAGATGAGGTAATCAGTCCCTCAGCCTGGGCACTAGTGTTCAATACCTTAGTCGTAGATCAAACCTTATGGGTTTAGCACCTCCTTATGAATAAAATAAAAACAACAATAATAATAATGATAGTAATATAAAAATAAAGTAGGAATTATGCAATATAGAGTTAGCTCAGATATGTCATCTTGCCATTTTATATGTGCAAACACGCTGAAGATGCTTCATGGTCGCATGTAAATAAAAGTAAATTATTTTAGTTAACGGGCAACCACAAATAGATAATAGGTTAAGTAAGGTTTGTCAGGAAACAGGACAAGTTTTTCCTGATGTTGGTCTTCAGGTTAAAGATAAAGATGTTTATTTTGACAGATTACATGGTTGTACAGAGGAATATAATAGTTGGGTGTACATGCCAAAAGCCCGTCCGTATGCTGAGCATTTTGGGCAAACTTAACCCTTTGACTGTCGCGGCTGTATATACACGTCTTACGAGGTACCGTGTTTGACGTATATATACTCATAAATTCTAGCGGCTTCAAATCAAGAAAGAAAAAGCTGGTAGGCCCACATGTGAGAGAATGGGTCTGTGTGGTCAGTGTGCACCACATAAAAAAAATCCTGGAGCACGCAGTGCATAATGAGAAAAAAAAAACTCCGACCGTTTTTTTTTAATTAAAATGCCGACTTTGTGGTCTATTTTCGTATAGTATTTATGTTTGTATTCTCGTTTTCTTGGTCTCATTTGATAGAATGGAAAACATATTATGGAAAAAGAGATGATTTTGAATGATTTTACTATAAAAAGAACCTGGAAATGGAGCTCAAAGTAGGGGAAATGTTTGACTTTTGCCGATGTTCAAAAATAAACAAATGACATTATTGTCCAATAAATGTCCAACTAGCCATTCTAATATGCAATCATGAATGGGTTGATGTTATTTATACATTTATTACATTATTGGAGTAGTCTGCATAATAGTAAAGCTTCGATTTTTTGTTTGAATGAAATTTCAAAATAAAAAGCAAGAGTAATATCAGAGGGGCCTGGAGACATGACTGATGAACAAAGAAAATGTTATTTTAGAGCCAGGAATGTCTGCATTGTTCATTCTGGACCTTATTTTGAAATTGTCATATTTTTTAATTTTCATGAAATTGGCCAAATTGCAAATTTCTGACCACGTTATTGGGTAGTTGAAATTGGTAAATGGGCAGTTTCTTGTACTCAATCGATAGATAAAACGGAGTTAAAAAGAAATAGCTATGAGTTTAGTCGACTGGAACAATGGAATTAGGCAAAAATAGGGCTCAAAGTGGGCAAAATCGCCGATTTGTAAATATCGCCAAGGTCGCTAACTTCGCGAGAGCGTAATTCTGTCAGTTCACCATCAAATTTCGTTTTTTTGGTGTCATTACAATCGGGAAAAGATTCTCTATCATTTCATAAGAAAAAATAATTTTTTTTTTTTTTTAAATTTTGCAACACCAGGAGACACCTCAGGATTGGGGGTTGTGACAGTCAAGGGGTTAAAGATTAACTTAAGATTAGTAAGGCAATAATACATAGTTCATATGGTCATTAAATGTGTTAGAGTGAGTACAGTAGAATTGTGTATCAGGTGATGCTACATGGTTTTGATAAGTCTAGTAGAGACTTATTACACTATTGAATTAGTTAATAAAGATTACAGTGTATTACAATGTAACAATTTAAAACAATTTACAGTATGATGTACTGTAGTACAATCTACTACTATTTAAAACAATGAACAAATAGACATCCCAGTTTCAAAGTAGTAAGTGGTTGAGCATTCATCAGCACAATATGAGTAGCTTTTGGGTATGGTATGGTTTGTCTGGTTAATTTTAGGTGATGAGGTTAGGTTAATTAAGGTTTGTCAGGAAACAGGACAAATATTCCCTGATGCTAGTCTTAGTTATACGATGACCCGCTGCTGCAACTTTTGGTCATCTGACCAAGGCCTTCCACTGGCTTACCAGTTCACCCCTTTAAAAATTATGGTGAATGTATTCAGATATTTGGGAGTGGACGTGCCAGCGGATGGGTCTATGAAAGATGAGGTGAATCATAGAATTGATGAGGGAAAAAGAGTGAGTGGTGCACTTAGGAGTCTGTGGAGACAAAGAACTTTGTCCTTGGAGGCAAAGAGGGGAATGTATGAGAGTATAGTTTTACCAACGCTCTTATATGGGTGTGAAGCATGGGTGATGAATGTTGCAGCGAGGAGAAGGCTGGAGGCAGTGGAGATGTCATGTCTGAGGGCAATGTGTGGTGTGAATATAATGCAGAGAATTCGTAGTTTGGAAGTTAGGAGGAGGTGCGGGATTACCAAAACTGTTGTCCAGAGGGCTGAGGAAGGGTTGTTGAGGTGGTTCGGACATGTAGAGAGAATGGAGCGAAAGAGAATGACTTCAAGAGTGTATCAGTCTGTAGTGGAAGGAAGGCGGGGTAGGGGTCGGCCTAGGAAAGGTTGGAGAGAGGGGGTAAAGGAGGTTTTGTGTGCGAGGGGCTTGGACTTCCAGCAGGTATGCATGAGCGTGTTTGATAGGAGTGAATGGAGACAAATGGTTTTTAATACTTGATGTGCTGTTGGAGTGTGAGCAAAGTAACATTTATGAAGGGGTTCAGGGAAACCGGCAGGCCGGACTTGAGTCCTGGAGATGGGAAGTACAGTGCCTGCACTCTGAAGGAGGGGTGTTGGACTTCCAGCAGGTATGCATGAGCGTGTTTGATAGGAGTGAATGGAGACAAATGGTTTTTAATACTTGATGTGCTGTTGGAGTGTGAGCAAAGTAACATTTATGAAGGGGTTCAGGGAAACCGGCAGGCCGGACTTGAGTCCTGGAGATGGGAAGTACAGTGCCTGCACTCTGAAGGAGGGGTGTTAATGTTGCAGTTTAAAAACTGTAGTGTAAAGCACCCTTCTGGCAAGACAGTGATGGAGTGAATGATGGTGAAAGTTTTTCTTTTTTGGGCCACCCTGCCTTGGTGGGAATCGGCCAGTGTGATGATAAAAAAAAAAAAAAAAATTATAACCATTAGGAATTCACAAATGGGTAATGGCTTTAGCAACCAATAAAACTAATTTCCCTGAAGCACTGAGCAGATGATATTCCATAAGTTATAGACCCTTGTGGGTTTAGTACTTAGTTTTGATTATAATAATAATCTATCAGTTACAATGGTTTATATCATGCCTTTGAATACAACTAATCTATTAGTTATTATGCCATATTTAAATTTGTTTGTAGTATATATATATATTTTATATTAAGAGTAAAATTGTTGAATTGTGAAAGTTTTTAATTATTGTAAGTAGATTATTCTGTTAAGGTTATTAATTATGTATTTGGAAAGATTGAGAAATACGTTTGTTATGAATTACTTCATGTACACTCATGAATTGTGAGAGGAATTGTTAGTTCATGAATAATGACAGGGATTGTTAGGATTAGGATTTGTTCATGGATTGTGAGAGGAATTGTTAGGATTGTGATTTGTTCATAGAGTGTGAGAGGAATTGTTAGGATTGTGATTTGTTCATAGAGTGTGAGAGGAATTGTTAGGATTGTGATTTGTTCATAGAGTGTGAGAGGAATTGTTAGGATTAGGATTTGTTCATGGATTGTGAGAGGAATAATTAGGATTGTGATTTGTTCATGAATTGCTAGGATTGTGATTTGTTTATAGACTTTGAAAAGAATTGTTAAGGTTATGTATTGTACATTCATACATTATGAGTGAAATTGTTAAGAGTTATAAATTATTAAATTATTATGAAAGAGATTTATTAGTTACTGTACATATTTATCATTGTTTAAACTGATTAGTTAAAAAATTCACTACCAAAAATTAAAATGCATATTAAAACTTAATGATACAGAAATAAAGTATTTCCCCCACAGGGATGCGTCCCAAGACCTACCGTGGATATCTGAAATCATGGATACCAGCAAACCCTGTTTGAAAGTCATTTTTTATTTACATACCCATGATAAAATTTAATTATACACAATAAAATTAAATTATACACAATAAGTCAAGAAGTATCACTTTTTCACTGATGGGAAACACTTCACGGCTTTGAAGAACTGCCAGGTTCACTACATTTGCACTTTTGGGCTATTATTAAGCAGAATTAAGGGTTATTTTCAGGTCATGATAAACTGTGGATAACTGAAACTGCAGAAACCAAATCCATAGATACAGGGGTTCTACTGTACTTAAAAATATGAAAAAAAAAAACTGTGATTACAGTTGGTTACAGAATTGTCTGTATAGTAATTAGTTACTATCATGGCCAGATAATGTGTGGTAAAGCGCTGGACCTGCCACTACCAGGACCGTGGTTCAAGCCTCCCATCCAGCTTTCTGTTTATTGCGGCATAATTGAAATTATAGAGAATTAAAATTATAGAGATGTTTATTTTGACTACAGGTTTGATACATTTATAATGCAAAAAATATATGATACAGTTGCATGCTCAAAAGAAATTCATTTAATATGCAGATCATTTCAAGCAAACTAATCATTACAACCAGGTATACTCCAGGTATACTCCAGGTATACTCCAGGTATACTCATACATCGCTTCCTTTTCCTATAAGCCAGATACAGTTGCTCCTCAACTTATGATGGTTTGACTTACAATATTTCAACTTTACATTGGTACAAAAGCAATTACTTTGGAGATGAAACTTAAGATAATTACTCAGCATGAAGGCATAAAGTCCATAACTTGTATTCATTTATTTACTTTTCAGTATTTTCAAATACTGATAGTACTGAGTTAGTTACAGTAATTATTTGTTTATTTACTTATTCAGTGACAGTAGTTATTTATTTACTTATTTATTTAGCCTATTATATTCAGCTTGTGATATTTTCAATTTACAAAGGGTTCGTTGGAACGTAACCCTGTTGTAAGTCAAGGAGCACTTGTATATTGAGCGTTTCCTGCAAATTATGATATTTGGATCACTTGAGTCATGTTGAAAGTTCCGGTGATTGTGATAGTCTTCAAGGATTATCTCTGTCCCCTCAATAAGATGTCTTATAATTTGTAAAACAAAAAAAAAATCCATTTGTTTCTGTAGAGAGAAAGAACAGACCAAAGATAATTGTCAGAACTTTATTTCGCTAGTGTTATTGAATGCCAAAGATGTGAACAGGCAGGGAATGTTGCTTCTGCTGTAGATATCAACTTTTGAAATGCATTTTATACATACATTCTGAAGTCAGCATGTATGTACGTTTCATGAATGGCTAATGCTGTTAAGTAGGAAAAATTGTACACAGTAGGCTGTCTTGCAAACCACAGTATGTACTGTACAGTTTTTCTTTTTTAAATGTGATTGAAAAAGAATACCCATAATTGATAACATGTGGAGAGACCTTCACAGTACACATTATTCAATTTTGGATACCTTTCTCAATCATATTTACACAAAAAACATAAAACAAATGAAGCCATGTATATTGGAATACGTATTACTAAGAATACTATTATCCGTCCACTGATTGTCTCGAAACTGTTAATACCTGTTCTTAAACCAAAATTGTACAAGTACTGTGGAACCCCGAATATCAGCCGCTGTATTATTTGGCCGAATCATATTAAGGCCGGTTTTTGGGCGGAAATTTTGCTCCGTATTTTGGCCAGGGCCTCGCGTATCAGTTGTATTAGATGAGTCAGCCTGCCTCCCGCTGGGGCGCCGCGCATAGGTGAGTCGGTCTCCCTGTGTCTCTCGGTAAATGAGCATATACTCCACACATTCATCCAAACATTTCCTTAAAATTCATTGGTTTTTGTGCTTGTTTATTAAGTGCGACTGTGAAATAAGCCACCATGGGCCCAAAGAATTGAAGAGAGCAAGAGAGATCACAAACAATGGAAGATGTGGAGAGAGGCAGGGAGTGTAGCATGGAGGGAGGGGGTGTAGCAGGCAGGCAGGGAGTGTAGCAGGGAGAGAGTGAGTGTGGAAGGGAGACAGGGAGTGTAGCAGGGAAACCGGGAGTGTTGAAGAGAGGCAGGGATTGTAGCAGGCAGGCAGGGAGTGTAGCAGGGAAACAGGGAGTGTGGAAGGGAGGCAGGGAGGGAAGTAACCCCAGAGGGGGCTTTGATACCTGAAGTCCTTATGGAAGGGGACATCCCTTCCTGACAATAATCAGTCCTCCCTCTCTCCTCCTCCCTGTCTTCCATAAGCCAACAAGAGTCTTCAGTAAAGGTATGTAATAGTGATTAAATGTTCATTTATATATTTTATTTAGTTCTCGTTGTTTTGTGTATTTAAAACTATAATTATCTTTAAAAAATGTATTTTTGTTAATATTTTTGGGTGTCTGGAATGGATTAATTGTGTTTTTTTTTTTTCAACAACTCGGCCGTCTCCTACCGAGGCAGGGTGACTCAAAAAAGAAAGAAAATCTCCAAAAAAGAAAATACTTTCATCATCATTCAACACTTTTACCTCACTCACACATAATCACTGTTTTTGCAGAGGTGCTCAGAACACAACAGTTTAGATGCATATACGTATAAAGATACACAACATATCCCTCCAAATTGCTAATATCCCGAACCCCTCCTTTAGAGTGCAGGCATTGTACTTCCCATTTCCAGGACTCAAGTCCGGCTATATAAAAATAACCGGTTTCCCTGAATCCCTTCACTAAATATTACCCTGCTCACACTCCAACAGATCGTCAGGTCCCAAATACCATTCATCTCCATTCACTCCTATCGAACACGCTCATGCACGCCTGCTGGAAGTCCAAGCCCCTCGCCCACAAAACCTCCCTTACCCCTTCCTTCCAACCGTTTCGAGGACGACCCCTACCCCGCTTTCCTTCTCCTACAGATTTAAATGCTCTCCATGTCATTCTACTTTGATCCATTCTCTCTAAATGACTGAACTACCTCAACAACCCCTCTTCAGACCTTCACACCTTATCCTAATTTCCACACTCCGAATTTTCTGCATAATATTTACACCACACATTGCCCTTAGACAGGACATCTCCACTGCCTCCAACTGCCTCCTCGCTGCTGCATTTACCACCCAAGCTTCACACCCATATAAGAGTGTTGGTACTACTATACTTTCATACATTCCCTTCTTTGCTTCCATACATTAATTGTATTTACATTAATTCTTATGGAAAAATATTGCTTTGAATTTAGACCGACCTTCTGGAACGGATTATGGCTGATATTTGGGGTTCCACTGTATGAGTATGTGTATAGGTTGCAAATGTATATTGGAATGTTACTAAGAATACTTTTATCCGCCCACTGGTTGTCTTTAAACTTGTAATTGCTTTTGTTAAATAAATATTTTATGCACAAGATCTCATTTTGTTTGTATTTTAACCCTTCACCAGACTGACCCCCCCTCACCCTTGAAGGGTGAGGGGGGTCAGTGTGGTGAAGGGTTCATGGTCCAAAGAATTTTGGCTACCCCTCTCATTTCTTAGGTCAAATTCGATTGCCTCCCATTTTCCAGGCACTGTGTGACCCATACAGGTTTAGTGCTTTCCCCATGGTAATGATCTAGGAGATCACTGTACACCTTGCTTGTTCTCTCTCTTTCTCTAGGCTGGAATATTGCTGTACACTAACAGCCTCTTTCAAGGCAGGCAATATTGCAGACCTGGAAAATATATAGAGAACTTTCACTGCACACACAAGTACAAAAAAAGCACCTAAATTACTGGGAACTGTTCAAGTCACTTGACCTGTACTCCTTGGAATGCAGGCGAGAAAGATACATGATAATATGCACTTGGAAAATTCTAGAGGAACTAGTCCCAAATCTGCACACAAAAATCACTCTTTACAAAGGCAAAAGACTTGGCAGGAGATGCAACATTCCCCCAGTGAAAAGCAGGGGCACCACGAGTACACAGAAACATCACAATAAGTGTCAAGGGCCCAAGACTGTTCAAATGCCTCCCAGAATACATAAAGGGGATTACCAATAAACCCCTGGCTGTCTTCAAGAACCCTGACTGTCTTCAAGACCCCTGACTCTTCAAGACCCCTGACTGTCTTCAAGACCCCTGGTTGTCTTCAAGACCCCTGGCTGTCTTCAAGACCCCTGACTGTCTTCAAGACCCCTGGCTGTCTTCAAGACCCCTGACTGTCTTCAATACCCCTGACTGTCTTCAATACCCCTGACTGTCTTCAAGACCCCTGACTCTTCAAGACCCCTGACTGTCTTCAAGACCCCTGGTTGTCTTCAAGACCCCTGGCTGTCTTCAAGACCCCTGACTGTCTTCAAGACCCCTGGCTATCTTCAAGACCCCTGACTGTCTTCAAGACCCCTGACTGTCTTTAAGACCCCTGGTTGTCTTCAAGACCCCTGGCTGTCTTCAAGACCCCTGACTGTCTTCAAGACTCCTGGTTGTCTTCAAGACCCCTGGCTGTCTTCAAGACCCCTGGCTGTCTTCAATACCCCTGACTGTCTTCAAGACCCCTGACTGTCTTCAAGACCCCTGACTGTCAAGATCCCTGGCTGTCTTCAAGACCCCTGACTGTCTTCAAGATCCCTGGCTGTCTTCAAGACCCTTGTCTTCAAGACCCCTGACTGTCTTCAAGACCCCTGGTTGTCTTCAAGATCCCTGGCTGTCTTCAAGACTCCTGGCTGTCTTCAAGACCCCTGACTGTCTTCAAGACCCCTGGCTGTCTTCAAGACCCCTGGCTGTCTTCAAGACCCCTGACTGTCTTCAAGATCCCTGGCTGTCTTCAAGACCCCTGGCTGTCTTAAAAGCCCCCTGACTGTCTTCAAGCCCCCTGACTGTCTTAAAGCCCCGGTTGTCTTCAAGCCCCCGGTTTCTTAAAGACCCTGACTGTCTTCAAGACCCCTGTCTTAAAGACCCTGATTCTTCAAGCCCCCTGACTGTCTTCAAGCCCCCTGTCTTCAAGACCTCTGGTTGTCTTCGTCCCCGGTGTGGACATTAAAATGGTATAAAATACCGACAGGTTGTTAGGTAAGACACATATGCAACAGTCTGAGGGACTGACCACCTCAAAACTTTAAGGGTGATGGACTGATTACATCGTCTTCAAGTCTCTTCTGCTTCTATCAACATTTCTGTACTCGACTGAAGAAGCCTACTGTGTAGGCGAAACGTTTCGAAATAAAGATACCTAACTGTTGCATATGTCTTACCTAACAACCCCTGGCTGTATTCAAGACCCCTGGCTGTCTTCAGTACCCCTGACTGTCTTCAAGACCCCTGACTGTCTTCAAGACCCCTGACTGTCTTCAAGACCCCTGGTTGTCTTCAAGACCCCTGGCTGTCTTCAAGACCCCTGGCTGTCTTCAAGACCCCTGGCTGTCTTCAAGATCCCTGGCTGTCTTCAAGACCCCTGACTGTCTTCAAGACCCCTGACTGTCTTCAAGAAGGCACCCTATTGTGTATACCTTTGATGAATTTCGCGAGTTCTTTACTCCCAGAGTCCGGCTATGGGCCAGACTTTTCTAGTGCTAGACTGATCAACCAGGTTGTTGCTGCTGGAGACCAAATTCAAATTCAAATTCAAAGTTTATTCTCTATAAAGATTACAATGTTGAATTTACAGAATTTGGTTGTTGTGTGGTTTACATGTAGTTAAATAATGATTACAGAGTGTACCACTAGAACGCCTAGCCCCTCAAGGAAGGTTCCTTGATGTTGGTGAGGGGCTCTTGATTTAGGGAATTGGATCTGTGCTCCAGTTTCCCAAATTAAGCCTGAATGCCTTCCACATCCCCCCCCCCCAGGCGCTGTATAATCCTCTGGGTTTAGCGCTTCCCCCTTGATTATAATAATATTAATAATAGAACGCCTAGCATGGCTAGGCATTTCGGGCAGACTTAGTTTAATTCTTTATTTTAAAATATTACAAATTATGAGGTAAGTTGGTATTATGGCTAAGTGACTAAATACTAGTTTGTGAGTTTAGCAATGTGAATGCTTTTGTTTTGGCACAGTACATAGTTTCAGTATTGGAGTATCATAGGATTCATTATTTTAAGATTGAGATTAATATTTCTGTTTATGGTCAAATGTAAAAGTATGAACCACCAGGTGGTATTCGTGTAGTTAGTTGACGGGGTGTATCAGGGAGATAAGATGTTTTCTGATGGTAGTTTTGAAGGTGATGAATGTGTCTGCAGTTCTAGAGTTCTCAGGTAGGGTGTTCCAGATTTTAGGGCCTTTGACATACATTGAATTTTTGTAAAGGTTTAGTCGGACATGGGGAATGTCATAGAGATGTTTGTGTCTGGTGTTATGCCTGTGGGTTCTGTCACAACTATCAAGAAAGCGTTTTAGGTCAAGGTTAATATTGGAATTTAAGGTCCTGTAGATGTAGATTGCACAGTAGTAAGTGTGGATGTTCTGAACAGGGAGTAAGTTTAGATATATGAAGAGTGGGGGGGGGGTGTTGCCAGGGATGGGATTTAGTGATTATTCTTACTGCAGCTTTTTGTTGGGTTATTATTGGCTTTAGGTGTGTTGCTGCAGTTGATCCCCAAGCACAAATAGCATAGGTGAGGTATGGATAATTAAGTGAGTGGTATAGTGTGAGAAGGGCATTTTGCGGCACGTAGTATCGTATCTTGGAGAGGATCCCAACTGTTTTGGATACTTTTTTGGTTATGTGTTGGATATGGGTGCTGAAATTCAGGTTGTTGTCAAGGTATAGGCCTAGGAATTTGCCCTCATTATGTCTGGTAATTAGAGTGTTGTCGATCTTAATGTTAATTTGTGCATCTCCTGCTCTGCTACCAAACATAATATAGTAGGATTTGTCAGTGTTAAGTGTAAGTTTATTGGCTGTCATCCAAGTCGATATTTTGATCAGCTCCTCGTTAACAATGGTGTTGAGGGTGGCAAGATTAGGGTGAGAGATGACATAAGTCGTGTCGTCAGCAAAGAGAATGGGTTTCAGGTGTTGGGATACGTTTGGAATTCAAATTCAAATTCAAAGTTTATTCTCTATAAGGATTACAATGTTGATTTTACAGAAATTTGGTTATTGTGTGGTTTACATGTTGTAAAGGTCCCCTCAAGGAAGGTTCCTTGATGTTGGTGAGGGGCTCTTGATTTAGGAAATTGGATCTGTTCTCCAGTTCCCTGAATTAAGCCTGAATGCCTTCCACATCCCTCCCCAGGCGCTGTATAATCCTCCGGGTTTAGCGCTTCCCCTTGATTATAATAATAATACATGTTGTAAAATAGTGATTACAGAGTGTACCACTAGAACGCTTAGCATGGCTAGGCATTTCGGGCAGACTTAGTTTTATTCTTAATTGTAAAATATTACAAATTATGAGGTAAGTTGGTATTATGGCTAAGTGACTAAATACTAGTTTGTGAGTTTAGCAATGTGAATGCTTTTGTTTTGGCACAGTACATAGTTTCAGTATTGGAGTATCACAGGATTCATTATTTTAAGATTGAGATTAATATTTCTGTTTATGGTCAAATGAGTGAGTGAGTGTAAGTGTGAACCACCAGGTGGTATTCGTGTAGTTAGTTGACGGGGTGTATCAGGGAGATAAGATGTTTTCTAATGGTAGTTTTGAAGGTGATGAATGTGTCTGCAGTTCTATAGTTTTCAGGTAGGGTGTTCCAGATTTTAGGGCCTTTGACATACATTGAATTTTTGTAAAGGTTTAGTCGGACACGGGGAATGTCGTAGAGATGTTTGTGTCTGGTGTTATGCCTGTGGGTTCTGTCACAACTATCAAGAAAGCGTTTTAGGTCAAGGTTGATATTAGAGTTTAAGGACCTGTAGATGTAGATTGCACAGTAGTAAGTGTGGATGTACTGAACAGGGAGTAAGTTTAGGTCTATGAAGAGTGGGGGGGGGGTGTTGCCAGGGATGGGATTTAGTGATTATTCTTACTGCAGCTTTTTGTTGGGTTATTATTGGCTTTAGGTGTGTTGCTGCAGTTGATCCCCAAGCACAAATAGCCTAGGTGAGGTATGGATAAATAAGTGAGTGGTATAGTGTGAGAAGGGCATTTTGCGGCACGTAGTATCGTATCTTGGAGAGGATCCCAACCGTTTTGGATACTTTTTTGGTTATATGCTGGATATGGGTGCTGAAATTCAGGTTGTTGTCAAGGTATAAGCCTAGGAATTTGCCCCCATTATTTCTGGTAATTAGCGTGTTGTCAATCTTAATGTTAATTTGTGCATCTCCTGCTCTGCTACCAAACAAAATATAATAGGTTTTGTCAGTGTTAAGCGTAAGTTTATTGGCTGTCATCCAAGTCGATATTTTGATCAGCTCCTCATTCACAATGGTGTTGAGGGTGGCAAGATTAGGGAGAGATGACATAAGTCGTGTCGTCAGCAAAGAGAATGGGTTTCAGGTGTTGGGATACGTTTGGAAGGTCATTGATGTATATGAGGAAGAGCAGGGGACCAAGGACACTTCCCTGCGGAACTCCAGTATCAATTGGCCTTGTTGCTGATGCTGTGTCTTTAATGGTGACATACTGATACTTATTAGTAATGTAAGATTTGAAATAAGCAAGTGCATGGCCTCTTATACCGTAATGATCAAGTTTGTGGAGTAGGATGTCGTGGTCTACTGTGTCAAAAGCTTTTCTTAGGTCAATAAAAATTCCTAGTGGATATTCCTTATTTTCCAATGCTGTGTACAGCAGATCTAGCATTTTTATGATTGCATCATTAGTGCTTTTATTTTTCCTGAATCCAAACTGGCAGGGGTTGAGTATGTTTTGAGCCGTTATAAATGAATACAGTCTCCTGTGCACGAGTTTCTCAAAGATTTTGGATAGCAATGGTAAGTTAGATATTGGCCTATAGTTGTTTAAGTCTGTAGGGTCACCACCTTTATGTATTGGTGTAACCCTTGCCATCTTGAGTAGTTTCGGGAAGGTGCTAGTCTCTAGTGACTTGTTAAAAAGTAATGAAATAGCATGCGAAAGGACATGGGCCGCTCGCTTGTACAGTAATGGTGGGACATGAGACAGATTCCCCGAGTTATTTTTAAGTGACTTTATAATCTCGGTGACTTCCATGGGCTCAGTTGGTGCAAGATAGAAGGAATTAGGGAAATTCCCATCTAGGTAGTCCCCGGCATGGACATTGGTATGTGGGATTTTACTGGCGAGATTAGATCCTATGATTGAGAAGAAGTCGTTTATCTTGTTAGCTGTGTCAGTGGGATGTAGTGGTGTTTCATTAGGTTTAGTTGGGACAATATTCTTGGTTTTTCTCAGTTTGTGGGTCCCTAGAATCTGAGAGAGTGTTTTCCAGGTCTTTTTTATATCTCCTCTAGTGTCTGTGAATCTACTGGAGTAGTATAGTTGTTTGGCTTTCTTTATTACTTTAGTGAGAGCTGATGAATAGTGTTTAAGAATATCTTTGTGTATTAAGCCCTGTCTATATTGCTTTTCATATTGGTGTTTCTTGTCAATGGATTTCAGAATGGTGCTGGTTAGCCATGGGCAACCAAGCCGTTTGTTTGTGATCTGTTTTGTTTTTATAGGACAATGTTTGTTGTATAGTCTAAGTAATTTTTTGTTAAGAAAAATGTCTGTCCAGTCATCAATACCATTGGCCTTGGAGAATTCTGTAGGCCAATCAACAGTCTCTAGGTCAGCTGTGAACTTCCTTACTGAGGCCTCGTCATGGAGTCTAAATGAGACTTTGTTGTATTCAAGTGGCGGTTTACTAATGTTTGTCAGGAGGAAGGTAGGGTAGTGGTCTGTAGTGCTATCTGTGATTATCCCTGATTTAAGGGGGGCTAGTATATTGGTCCATATGTGGTCTATTATGGTTGCACTTGTCTCAGTGAGCCTGGTTGGTTTAGTTATTGTTGGTATGAGAAGTGTGTTGTTCATATTGTTGATGAAATCAGTTACAGGCTGATCATCTAGTAAGCCAAGGTTGATGTTGAAGTCTCCAGCTAAGAGAAGGTGGTGCTTATTCATTTGTCTGTTTGTTATTAGTGACTTTAATTTCTCACTGAAATTTGGGATGTTTGTGTGAGGTATCCGGTAAATGGCACCGATTGTTATAGGCGTCTTAAGGTTTTTTACAGTAAAATTAGCAAAAATGTATTCCCCATATTCATCACTAAAGCAAGTGGTGCTAATACAAGATAATTGGTTAGAGTAATAGATTGCAATACCACCCCCAACTTGGTTTGTTCTGCAGTTGTGAATTGCTGTGTATCCTGGTAGAGGGTAGATATCTATTGTGTCCTGCTTAAGCCAGGTCTCAGTAAGAATAATGCAGGAGAAGGGTGTCTTTAGTGATTCAAGGATGTTGTAGTTAAGTACTGGTAGACTTTTAGCATTGTTTAGGATAGTGCTGGCTTGTGATGCTGTGTAATAAAGGCAGTATGACCCTTGTGGTTTAGCGCTTCTTTTTTTTGATTACAACAATAATAATAATGGAGACCTAATGGACCTCACCGGAAATAAGTTACATTGACTTTTTTGTGTTATCCCAGGTTCTCTACACACATGCTGCTATGTATGATAATCTATGTAACTGTATTTATGTATACCTGAATAAACTTATTCATGGTGTATATATATACACATCTGAAGAATACTACTCCATATTATATTAGTAAATAAGTTTATTCAGCTACAATTATGCAATTTTTTGAATGGTTACAATTGTTTTTAGTAATATATGTGTAAATTACTTGGGATAATTAAAAAAATAGACTTCTATTGGGGCCCTTGAAATGCCTTTTAACAGCCTAATATCCCGTAAAATTGCATGAAATACGTGACTTACGAAGATAAAAGAAATGTATTTTTGTATGGTCTTATAGTTTAATATGTATTATGTAGCCCATGGACACCTGGGGGGCTTTTTTATAGAAAAAATAGAATGTGTTTGAGTGAGGAAGAAGATGGTGGTCCTGCCACCAGGTCTAGTTTGTTGATTATTTAGATGATTTTACAGCGATTGCTGGGCCAGGAGCTGTACCAACTGTTCCCACGTCTGCCTCTATCTCTCAGTCACCGCTGGTGAGTAATTAATGTTTGTTAGCAGGTGGTTAATGAGGTTAATTAAGGCAATATAACGAGTCGTTCAGCTGATGCTGCCAGCAACTTGCTTCTGATTTCCTGTATATTTTTGGTGATTCTGCTGTGATTGCTGGGCCAGGAGCTGTACCAGCTGTGCCCACGTCTGCCTCTAGCTCTCAGTCACAGCTGGTGAGTAATTAATATTGTTAATAGGTGTTTAACGAGGTTAATTAAGGTAATATAACGAGTTATTCAAACTCTTGTGTCTTCCTGAACTTGCTTCAGATTTCCTGTATATTTTTGGCAATTTTTCAGTGATTACTGTGCCAGGAGCTGTGCCAGGAGCTGTGCCAACTGTGTCCACGTCTGCCTCTGCTTGTTAGTTACTGCTTGTTACCAAGTGATTAACGAGGTTAATTAAGACAGTCATATAACGTTTATCTTGGTGTATATTTTAATGATCCTTCTACTGTACCAACTATGTTATTTTCCTCTTCTGCTTGTTAGTCACTGCTGGTAAGTAGTTACTGCTTGTTAGTCACTGCTGGTAAGTAGTTACTGTTTCTTAGTAAGTTATTTAGGCACAGTTACATATTAAGTACAATTATACATTCAAATTCTAAATTTATTTCCATATAGTAACACGTGTTTAAGTTACCCAGGATAACCAGTCAGACACATAGTAATTATAATAAAAATTATAATCTTTTATTTACTACAAGTACATGATACAACTTATACAGACCATAGCTGACATCACCGACATACTACTATATAGAAAGTCGCTTGTTATGCTGAGAATTTCCCACAAATTAGGTCAGTTTTGTTCCCCAGGATGCGACCCACACCAGTCCACTAACACCCAGGTATCCATTTTACTGATGAGTGAACAGGGACAGCAGGTGTCTTATGGAAACACATCCTTAATGTTATCCAGCCATACTAGGGATTCGAACTCCGGACCTCGGTGTGTGAGCTGAGTGCTCTAACGATAGAGCTATGGGACTTATATTTTCTTTCATTTTTCCATCAATGTACTTGAAATGTGATTTATTTCAACTGGATTTGTTGAATGATTGTTTTAATACCATTTATTCATTTTGATACATTATATTTATCATATGGGAAAAAAAAGTCTGTGTTCAACTTCATTGGGTTATCCTAGGTTAAGTCATCATAATGTACTTTGTATGTTATGTGCCTAAATGCAAAATAGAACTCAATTAACGATAAAGTAAACCAGGAAATAAATGCGTTGTCTGGCGAAGTCACGTAAGTTTGAAGTCACCGATGCCGGAGAGTTATCCAGGTGTCAGGCTCAGTGACTTGTTAAAATGCAGCTACAAATTATCCAACACCATGATTTAGGTTTAGGTTAAAGTTAGTAAGTAGGTTTATCCAATATTATTTTATTAACACACAGGCCATTTCCCACCAAGGCAGGGTGGCCTAAAAAAGAAAAACTTTCACCATCATTCACTCCATCACTGTCTTGCCAGAGGTGTGCTTACACTACAGTTATAAAACTGCAACATTAACACCCCTCCTTCAGAGTGCAGACACTGTACTTCCCATCTCCAGGACTCAAGTCCGGCCTGCCAGTTTCCCTGTTACATAAATTATCATACATAACAGCATATATGTAGATTACCCTCCAGGATAACACAAAACTTCAAAGTGATTTATTTCCATTGGGGTCTTAGTAATATATTATTTAAACCTTAGAAGTTACAATAAAAGGAGATATATACATGTACTAGGAATAAGGTAAACTGAGTTATTTACATTAACATTAAAGAGAGTATCAGATCACAGTAATAGGTACATGTTTGTTAGCTATAAAAGAAATCAGTCTCCTCCCTTTCTGTAGTAACATTCATTAGGCACCTTTTAACTCTCTTACTGAAGTGGCTTATGCTAGGACAAGCTTTGACATGTGCAGGCAGTCCATTCCACTCCTCAATTGATGTATAATAAAAAGTGTTTGACTTTCTAGGTTGTGTGAGCCACCACGAGCCATGGCTTCTCTCCTGGGTAAAGTTGACGATGTAGACATTGACAGTGGCACCTTCAAGTACATCCTCATTAAGGTGCACCACTCACCTCCGGAAGGTACAGAAACCTCCAAGTTTATTACCCGAGGGTAAGTTAATCTTACTGATTTTACAGTCGTGGGGAAGTGTTTAAAATGCAATGCATGCTAGTGGCTTTCTTTTGTGCCTAATAATATTTTATTACATGTGAACTATATTATCTGTATACTGCAGAAAAGAAATGAAGTATTATGGTTACACAGTTCCTGAAGGGTAAATAAATACCAGTACTACAGTAATAATAAAAATAACAATAATATAACAACACAGTAGAACCCTTGTATCCATTGATTCAGTATCTGCAGTTTCAGTTATCCATGGTTTACTGTGGCCCACAATTACCTCTTAATTTTGCATAATAATGGACCCAAAGCATAAAAATAGAGAAGCTGGCAGTTCTTCAAGGCCTAAGAGAAGCTGTGAAGTGCTTCCCATCAGTGAAAAACTGATAATTCTCCACTTATTGTGCATAATTTATCAGTTAACCTTAATAAGAGGTATGTATAGGACTTGTATATAGGGTTTGCCACTATCTGCAGTTTTGGTGTCCATGGCAGGTCCTTGGAACATATCCCCCATGGATACAGGGATCTTGCTATAATTAGTAATATTTATTTCAGTTCATTCTACAGCAAAGATGCATTGAATTAAAGGCTCTTATTATACATAGCATTTCAGGCAAACTTAGACTATAACTGATCACTTGACACTAAAAAAATTAGTTAAGAAAATGAGGTTAATTCAAGGAATTGATTGGATGTTATAAAAATAGTTAAGGTACAGTTTACAAAGTATTTGCCAAAAATGGGATTATCAGCTTTGAAAAGGTTGGCTAGTACTTTTATAAGTTTACAATAAGAGATTAGTTAAAAAAAACGTGACTACAATATTTAGGAAGACAGTAGCTTGAGCTTGATTTTGGAATACATTAAGTGCATTGCAGTGTTTCAGTTCATCTGGTACTGTATTCCATAAACTAGCATAGAATTTCTGTAGATGTTCAGTCAAACATGAGGTACAGTATATAGAAAAAAGCTATTTACTTGGGGGGGGGGGGGTAGTGCCAGGAATTGTCTTAGATAAACATCAGTGTTAATGAAGTGTTTTAAACATGTGGAGTCAACAGTAATGTGTATTAATGGCATTTATATTTAGTAGGTTTGGGGGCTTGTATAAGGGGTTAGTGTTGTGCTTGTAATTGTTCCGAGGGTCTGCCCTTTGCTGCGATATCTCCTAGCTTGGGGTGAGTTGCTTAGGTGGATCCCCATGTAAAGATTTTGTATCTTGAGATATGATTAGTATTATAATAATCATGGAGGAGCATAAACCCATAGGGATTATACAGTGTCTGTTAGGTGGGGGGTGGGGGGGAGGTATTCAGGCTCAATTCAGGGAACTTGTGCAGGGAACTTGACACAGTTCCCTAGATGAAGAGCCTCTCACCAGCATCAAGGAACCTTCCTTAGAGGGGTGGCAAATTTCAGCATTAACTGATTGATTGTTTATGTATATATATACGGTCTCTTAGTGGTTATAACAATAAATTTAGGAATCAGGGACCACAAGAGAATTGAATGGTATTAATGCATGCTATATAACATTTGTGCAAGAAAGGTATACAATACCGACAAGATGAAAGTTAAAACACATGTTCAACATCTGGTTATCTTTATTGTAGATGTTTCACCATCCAGTGGCTTTATCAATACAAATTCTAGGATATAATTAGAAGACAGTAGAACTATATACAGAAGATGAGGTAATCAGTTCCTCAGCCTTGGAGTTGGTGTTGAGAGCACCGGGGTAGTAGAGATTCTGAAGCAAAAGCAAGGAAACTGGCGTTTATATAGGCATCAGTGGATAGGGACGTGTAGCAGACAAGGACATAGTCACTGGTAGGTGGGATTCCCCAGTGCTTCAGAATCTCTACTACCACGGTGCTCTCAACACCAACTCCAAGGCTGAGGGACTGATTACCTCATCTTTTGTATATAGTTCTACTGTCTTCTAATTATGTCCTAGAATCTGTATTGATAAAGCCACTGGATGGCGAAACGTCTGCAATAAAGATAACCAGATGTTGCACATGTGTCTTAACTTCTGTATAACATTTATTGAGTTTAATTGTTTTAAGGATTACAGTTTGGCTCGTGATTACAGGTAATGACGATTCTAGCACATTAACATCTTTTGAACACATTCAATGCTTTTAATGGCTACGAGGATTACAGGTAATGAGAATAAGAATATGTTGTAATCTATATGCTTGCGGCAGTGAGAATATAAATATATAGTTTTATCATATTAGCTGTTGTTGGGATATGTTAGTGAGAGGTGGTTTTTTATGGTAGTTTTTAGCCCTTAAACTGTCCAAACATAGATCTACATTCACTCGCGTGGTGCTCCAAATATTTTGAAAAATAAAAAAATTGTTTTTGTCTTTTAAAATGATGAGCACATTTTTCTATGTTATAGGATTAAAAAAAAACATCGACTTCTGCCACTTGCAGAAGTGTTGCCAATATACCTTTTTTTCTCGTTTTTATTTTAATTTATATATTTTTTTTATGTTCTGATAATTACAATTTATAATAGTTCTTGTAATTTCATAGCCAATCTTTGTTCTGACACTAATATCAGGTACTGAAATAGTGCTCAAATAGTCACAGACACATTTACAGGTGAACATTAACACCTGCCTGGGTTATTTACTATTGTCTAGAAATATATACAAAGTATTTATAGGTCCCAGCAATGTTTTAGATACCCTGGCATATATCTTGAAGCATGTTGTTATGAAAGGCATCCCTATACTGTTGACAACCCGGTGACATTTGATAAATGCCCACTGCTCCAGCTAACCCTCGCTGTATTTGTTATCACTGTTACACACAAACATGTCTTGTCTCTCTGTCTATTTGCCTGTCTGTCTATCCATCCATCTGCCTGTCTGTCTCTGTCTGCCTGCCTGTCTGTCTGTCTGTCTGTCTCTGTTTATCTGTCCTTCTGTCTGCCTGGAGTATACATATATTACACTCCTCAAAGAATCGTATTATGACGTCTGTTATAAGCTCGGTGACATTTGATAAATGGGTGCTCGGGGAACCCTGGCTTTATTTGTTTTCACTGATACACACAAACATGTTTCTGTCTATCTGTCTGTCTATCTTTGCCTGGAATTTTTGGGTTATCCTAGGTAATTTACACTGTGTTTAATAACTGTACGTACTTATGTGTGCATGTGATACAGAGATATAGACAGACAGATAGAGATATAGATAGAGACAGATAGAGATATAGATAGGCAGAGATATAGACAGATAGAGATATAGACAGAGAAACAGCCAGAGACAGCCAAAGCAAGCCGGCCAGCCAGCCTGCCGAATACATAAGAACATAAGAAGGAACACTGCAGCAGGTACATGTCACCCCCCCCCCCTGGCTAAGACCCATGACCCACCTAGTCAGGTCACATCCACTGAAGGAAGGAGCATGACATCAGACATAGTAGCATAAGCTAATCAGGTCCAACTCACACTCACTTATGTATTTATCTAACCTGTTTTTACTTTCCTCTTAAAATGGGAGTGTTAATGTGACATGGCATCAGTGAATCCCTTGTGTTTGCCACGCTATTTGCTCTAGCTGGCGCTCAATTGAACTGGTGCTCCCACAAGGTACTAAGTGCTCCCAGATTTTTTTAATAGTGCACACACAGAGTGCACAGACCCATTCTTTCATGTCTAGGCAACTCAAGCCTATTGTGCCAAATTTGGAGGAATGAAAAATAAAACGTTGATCTACGTTTGGAGCACTACGCGTGCAAACGTAGATCTATGTTTGGACAGTTTAACCCTTTGACTGTCGCAACCCCCAACCCTGAGGTGTCTCCTGGTGTCGCAAAATTTAAAAAAAAAAAATTATTTTTTCTTATGAAATGATAGAGAATCTTTTCCCAATTGTAATGGCACCAAAAAAAAAAAATTTGATGGAAAACTGACGGAATTATGATCTCGCAAAGTTAGCGACCTCGGCGTTGTTTACAAATCGGCGATTTCGCCCACTTTGAGCCCTATTTTCGGCTAATTCCTTTGTTCCAGTCGCCCAAACTCATAGCTATTTCTTTAGAACTCCATTTTTTCTATCGACTGAGTACAAGAAACTGCCCATTTACCGATTTCAACTACCTAATAATGTGGTCAGAAATTTGCAATTTGGCCAATTTCACGAAAACTAAAAAATATGACAATTTCAAAATAAGGTCCAGAATGAACAATGCAGACATTCCTGGCTCTAAAATAACATTTTCTTTGTTCATCAGTCATGTCTCCAGGCCCCTCTGATATTACTCTTGCTTTCTATTTTGAATTTTTATTCAAACAAAAAATAGAAGACTTACTATTATGCAGACTACTGCAATACTGTAATAATTGTATAAATAACATCAACCCATTCATGACTGCATATTAGAATGGCTAGTTGGACATTTATTGAACAATGGCATCATTTGTTTACTTTTGAACATTGGCAAAAATCAAACATTTCCCCTACTTTGAGCTCCATTTCTAGGTTCTTTTTATAGTAAAATCAATCAAAATCACGTCTAATTCTATAATATGTTTTCCATTCTATCAAATGAGACCAAGAAAACGAGAATACAACCATACATACTATACGAAAATAGACCACAAAGTCGGCATTTTAATTAAAAAAAACGGTCGGAGTTTTTTTTTTTCTCATTATGCACTGTGTGCTCCAGGATTTTTTTTATATAGTGCACACTGACCACACAGACCCATTCTCTAACATGTGGGCCTACCAGCTTTCTCCTGCTTGATTTGAAGCCGCTAGAATTTATGAGTATACTGTATATACGTCAAACACGGTACCTCGTAAGACGTATATATACGGCCACGACAGTCAAAGGGTTAAGGGTTAAGACGCTGGCAGAGAGGAAGGTGGCTCTGGAGATTTCCAGCACGGAGTTCCAGATCTTGGGTTTTTTTTTTATGTGCATTGTGTTTTTGGACTGAAGAAGCCAGTGGCTAATGAAACATTTCTTCAGTAGAGAGTCCCTGATGTTGCACAACTGTCTCAGTCTTCAGAGAGTATTTTGTCATAGTATATCAGTATTATTCAGTACTGACAATATGAATTAGACACAAGTTTTGCCATCCAGTGGCTTTATCATAGACATAAAATGAAGACTAGAAATATATACAGCAGATGGTGGAAGATGCAGTAAACAGTTCCTCCGCCTAGAAGCAGGTGATGAGCATCATAGTCTTAAAGTATTTTGTCAGTTTTCAGAGGGCTAGACCTTCATACTAGTTCACTTTTTTAAGGGAATTTGATCATCAGTAAACTCATATTAATGTGTAATTCAGTCATCTTCGTAAAAGGCGCTTCAAATAGTAACATTAAATTCTACATCTGAACAATGTCAAAAAAAAAATTCCCTAAAACACATTGGCTATAAAAATAAATCAGGCTAAAAAATGAACTTTTTCTCGTTATTTTTACATGTATTTGTATGTAACATAGTGGTTTTAAGCTGTGATTTGATAATGATCCAGGATAGTCCAAAACATTATCATAAATTTTTTCTCCTAAGTGTGGGTTTTTAGTCTTTAGTGCTTTAGAGCATTTGTTTTTCTTTAAGTTCAAATGTTGATTTCACCCACATTACTGTATTCAGAGCAGCATGTAGGGATAAGGTAGAGTAACTTTATTGCAGGTCTTGAGTCTGTTGCATTATACAGCAAGGTCTTGATTAGTTTGAGTTCAGTTAGTGTGAATTTTGAAGGGTCGTTGAGGTGGTTTGGACATGTAGAGAGAATGGAGTGAAACAGAATGACTTCAAGAGTGTATCAGTCTGTAGTGGAAGGAAGGCGGGGTAGGGGTCGGCCTAGGAAAGGTTGGAGGGAGGGGGTAAAGGAGGTTTTGTGTGCAAGGGGCTTGGACTTCCAGCAGGCATGCGTGAGCGTGTTTGATAGGGGTGAATGGAGACAAATGGTTTTTAATACTTGACGTGCTGTTGGAGTGTGAGCAAAGTAACATTTATGAAGGGGTTCAGGGAAACCGGCAGGCCGGACTTGAGTCCTGGAGATGGGAAGTACAGTGCCTGCACTCTGAAGGAGGGGTGTTAATGTTGCAGTTTAAAAACTGTAGTGTAAAGCACCCTTCTGGCAAGACAGTGATGGAGTGAATGATGGTGCAAGTTTTTCTTTTTCGGGCCACCCTGCCTTGGTGGGAATCGGCCAGTGTGTTAATAATAAAAAAATTAATTAATGCTAGTTCCCACCAAGCTCTTCAAACTGCATGCAATAATTGCACATACAGGTGCTCCTCGGCTTGTGATATTTCAACTTTACATTGCAAAAATAATTATTTGGTATGTAGTTACAGTAATTATTTGTTTATTTACTTATTCAGTGGCAGTAGTTATTTATTTCCTTATTTAGCACATTGTATTCATATTTGACTTATGACATTGTCAAGTTACGATGGGTTTGTCGGAACTTAACCCCATCATGAGTCAAGGAGCACCTGTAATTCAAATAATGTGACCACTTCACAAGATTCCTTATTCGCACTAATCAAGACTTAACAGTATTTATATTTTACAGGTACCGCTCTGCTAGTTTCCACTCTGATGTATATGATCAAGTTGTCCCAGGAATTGAGAAGCTGGGACTGGACTGTGAGTGTGTAGGTGGAGGTCGAATCCAACACAATCCAGACACCAAAACCATCGAAGTTTATGGCTATTCTCAAGGCTATGGTAAAGCAGACCACAGCATTACTGTGGGTTTACTCAAGGCAAAGTATCCTGACTATAACAAAATTACGTTCTCCAACGACGGATATTAAGAAGTTTTAATTGATTATGGACAGAATAATGGATTAAATTGACAGGATGTATTGAGCTAGCAAAATATCCTGGAAGAAGTGTACTATTCTTCAGGCCTATATAAAAACATTAGTGGTAAATTTTATAAGTTAAATACAATATCAAATATTCTCATCTAAACTTTCTTGCACTACATCACTTGGAAGTTCATTAATATTCAGTACTGTTACATTGGTTGCCCAAAATTCTGGATATATGAAATACTTTGTTGTATTTTTATATAAAAAAAGCATAATGCTGTAATACTGCGTCAGTAATGCAACACCTCACCCAAAGATAATTTATTTGCGTCTGTCTTTCATGTACGTACTATAATCTGTTATGATGAATAAAAAATGATCATCTAGGCTATTTGCCTGATTAATCCACTTATTTGGAGGAAAGTTTTGGTAAAAAAGTAAATTATTCAAGATGGTTACATTTGAGTACATTAAGCTTACCAGCACAAGAGTGCAGTAAATAGTAGGAGGGATATACCCAAGTATTGTATCGGCTAATTTTGACAGTATTGGCCTAAAATTGAGTGTTGGCAAATATTGTTTCATCCCTAAATAGTAGCAGTAGTACACTGGTGTATAAAAAGTTCAAAATCCATATGGGTCATGCATTTTATTTTTAATTGGGGAGGAATACTAAACCTATAGGCTTTATGTAACATCTGGGGAATGGAGGGTACTCGGGTTCGATCCAAGATAGGGAAAGTTATGTCCAGTTTCTTGAGTCAAGAACCCCTCACTGGTATCAAGACACCTCCATAGAGGGGGGTATGGATTATACTGTACACTGCTATACAGTAGTATTACTGGACTGTGATTCCTCCCATTTTCCAGTTTATAAATACGTACAGTACAGGCAGGCCCAGATTTACAGCACTGTTATGGCATTTCGTTAATGTGATGGTTTACAGTTATATCCATTTTTCATTTATTTGGACTTCCTACAATAAATATACAGCCTCTCCTCACTTAACAACAGGGTTCTGTTACTAAGAGTAGGTCGGTAAGCGAATTGGTCATTAAGCAAGGAGCACAATGTATTGGTAGTGGGTTTGTGTCAACCATCTTTAGATATTTTTTTTAATGTCACCTTTGCACTATTTATAACATTTTTAGTATACTGTACTTTTAAATGTTTGTACAGTAGTGTACTGTATACTGTAATACACTGAATAGAGGAAATCAGCTCTAATATACATTAATTAGATCTGCACACTGGTTGGAGAGCTGGTCATAAGTCTGAGTGGTTAGTATTATTATTATTATAATCAAAAAGAAGCGCTAAGCCACAAGGGCTATACAGCTGAGTGGTTAGTAAACGAGTACGTTGCTAAGTTAGAATTAGAAGAGGCTGTATTTACCACTCGCTA